CCTCGCGTTCTTCCCCTTGCCTCCCCTATCCCTCCCTCAGCCTCCCTCTTTTTCTACCGCCCTCAGCTATCTTTCCTGCCGCCTTTCCTCAGTCCCCCACCCCCTTTCTCCACCAGCACGCTATATTATGAAGTTTTCTTCAGTCCGTATTGCACGCCTGAAACGGTGCGCGCGCATGCGCAATATCTCCCGAGAAGAAGAATATTTTGCAAAGATTATGCGTAAGAGGAGTTATCCTAGCATAGATTTATATGATAACATTCCATCAGGAGACTTTATTTAAGAAATGGGAGGAACACCTTGCATGTAAGCTCCCAAGCCCCCAATAATTATGAACGGAGGGTGATCCTTCACTGGATGTTGGGCGATTTTTTCTTTCGCCACCCGCCAACAGATGGCAGTGAAGCGGACTGTCATGGCAGCTTCCATCTGTGGAGAAGGGTTGGTCTGTTGATGGTATAAAATCGCATTTTACGTGTTGGAAGTAAATATCAATGATGGAAAAAGATTACGCGCCGTTGACTATAACTACCGTACGGTCATTGAACGATAAACTATATGAAAAACGGAAAGGCGCAGCGTTGGAGATTGAGAGGTAAATAGAGGCAAGGAGGCAGGCATTATGATTATTTGTAGGCCGTGGCTACGCGACCGGTTCCGGACGAGGAGCCGCTAGGCTACGCGTCCGGACATCCATCTCACAGCAGTGTTCTTGCGACACGACACAACGCATGATTGCGCAACTGGACGCTCTTCTGATTGCCGAGTGTGTGGTGTGTGTGTGTGTGTGTGTGAGTGTGTCACTGTTGTGTGCGTGGTGCGTGCGTGCGTGCGTGCGTGCGTGCGTGTGTGCGCGCGTGAGAGAGAGAGAGAGAGAGGGGGGGGAATGTTTGTGTGTGTGTATGCGTGAGAGAGAGAGAGAGAGCTAGAGTGGTGTTTGTGTGTGTGTGTGTGTTGTGTGTGTGTGTGTGTGTTTGTGTGTGTGTGTTGTGTGCATGCGTGCGTGCGTGCGTGCGTGCGTGCGTGCGTGCGTGCGTGCGTGCGAGCGAGCGAGCGAGCGAGCGAGCGAGAGAGAGAGAGAGAGAAAGAGAGAGAGAGAGAGAGAGAGAGAGAGAGAGAGAGAGAGAGAGAGAGAGAGAGAAAGAGAGCTAGAGGTGTGTGTGTGTGCAGGGCGATCCAGAGGTTTGGTGACCAGTTTCCATAGTTCTAGTCACAGGCTAGGGGTCCGGCGATGCCCCTCGGGAATTTTTTTAAAATTAGGCTATATTTTGGTGCATTCTGGTGAATTTTGAGGTCAATTCTGAAGATACCCAGCCTGTTGACCGGTTCTGAAACTGGTGGCAAAGCCGCTAATCCGCGCTGGTGTGTAGAGAGAGAGAGAGAGCTAGAGGTGTGAGAGAGAGAGAGAGAGAGAGAGAGAGAGAGAGAGAAGAGAGAGAGAGAGAGAGAGAGAGAGAGAGAGAGAGAGGAGAGAGAGAGAGAGAGAGAGAGAGAGAGAGAGAGCTAGAGTGTGTGTTGAGAGAGAGAGAAGAGAGAGAGAGAGTCTAGAGTGTGTGTGTGAGACGAGAGAGAGAGAGAAAAATAGATGAGAGAGAGAGAGAGAGAGCTGTGTGTGTGTGTGTGAAAGAGAGAGAGCGAGCAAAAGAGGACAGATGAAGGGATAGACGGCAGCAGTGCATATATTGTATATTTACGGCAATCAGCAGAGTGTGCCGTTGCGCAATCATGCGTGTACGCAAGTCGCGCGATTACTGTGTGAGTGGATGTCCGGATGCGTAACCTGGAGGCTAGGCGACCGGTTTCGGACGCGTAGCCTAGTGTTGTCAATCGGTTGTAATTTCGTAATCGATCATCGGTTGGACCCAAGTAACCGATGATCGGTTACAATCGGTTACTCGGGGTGTTGAATGCCTGCGTGTGCGTAACATCGTGTGTATGTACGTGGGTGCATGTATGTGCTTGTTTAGCCAGCGTATAAAATTCCTAGTGTGTCCTAGGCTTTAGCCCCTCAACAGGAAGTAACTACGGCGAATGTCGGGTGATTCCCGAACTAAAATAGCGATGATATCTCTGATTCTCATCACTTTTCCAAGTTTTCTTGTTCAAGTTTTACATTTATTTCGTTTTTTTTTTTTTATGAAATTGATTATGGATTTTGATAACCAAGCGCTTGGTTCGAGCCACTGTTCAACCGATGATCGAGTATAATCGATGATCGTGACATCACTAAGCGCTTGGTTCGAGCCACTGTTCAACCGATGATCGAGTATAATCGATGATCGTGACATCACTAGCGTAGCCACTGCGTTATTTGTATTGTAAATGTAATATGTAAATGCTATGAAATCGGGCCGGTGTTGGCTGCCCAATGGCAGTTTTACTTTTGTTGGAACCAACCTGATGAGCCAATGTATTTAATAAACAGGTCGTTTAAATGTACATGATATTCAAGAGCCAGACAGTAACATTTGCAGCATAATATTGTTATTCTTCACTGCTGTACAAACAATCACAAACATATTCATTTTTTTCGATCTCGGGTCGGTTATGCATATTGATACTGTTTACACAAATTTATTTAAATAAGCTTAGAATGTCGACAGTAAAGGCATACAAAGAATAGTTTTCTGATGACCAATTAACCATCATGGAGAGGGTGCACCCTATATTTCCTGTTAGAACATGTCCGGAAGGAAATCACCAACAGGCAACAGAGTTCATTGATGCTGGCAATGTTTCAGGCAAGTGCGGGATTTCAATATTGCCGGGAACGCGAGTCAAGTAAAGAAACTGTTGAAAGTTCTCGGGCAGGATTTTGCACTGAGCTCGAATCCCCACAGTCGCAAGGGTGGTCTGATTGGACTAGCTGCCACTGCCATCGCTCTTGGCAAGGTAGGAATGCGACTTAGCTCTACCTGTGTAGCCCCTTCGCTTCTGCTACAGGACCCGGTAGGGAATCTTGTAGCAGAATTCCATAGTGGGATCCTGTAGTTGGAGCGAAGTAGTTACACCAGTAGAGCTAAGCATGTCTCTACTATAGCAACTTTGTTTATTTCAAGCAGTTGCTTCATTTCAATGACTGGTTTGCTGCTATACATTTATATAAGGAAGTGGAAAGGTGCATTTTATTACATATGAGAAAAATTATTACATATGATTATTCACATATAAGGAAATGGAAAGTCGCTCTTTGCTACACATTCAAGCTTTTGATTTGTGCACATTTTGCCCATTACGTCCCGTTTTTGCGGCGTATTTAGGATACGACGGCCTACGTGTCCGAGCTCGTACGACCGGTCCTCGCTTGTTTCAACGACGCCGACAGCAGAGTGCGCTACTATGCATGCGAAGCGCTGTACAACGTAGTCAAGGTGGCGAGGGGTTCCATACTTCCTTATTTCAACGACATTTTCGATGGACTGAGCAAGGTGAGTACGCAAGGACCTCAGTGTGGATACTCCTCGTGGAAATATTTTCGTGTGATGCTGAGATTCCGCGTTGAATTATTTTCAAACCAGTGGTGTCCCCACCATAATGTACACATAGAAGTTTTATATTATACGTACATCTCGTGTGTAGTTACTTAATTTAGACAAGTGTATAAAATCCTGACTTGAATAGATGTTATCGGTGTATAGGTTTATAGGGTTATAGGTGTATTATTACAATGCGAGTGCTTGGGTATTATTTTTCCCATTTCAGCTTGCAGCTGATCCTGATCAGAATGTGAAGAATGGTTCTGAACTCCTTGACAGACTTATGAAGGTAAATTAAATATTTAGTTACCAACTAAAGTTCCACTCCATGCCAATAATTGATTCTGGGAAGCTGTAATTTAATCCATAGCTTGATAGATAAATGTTGATAATAATAATAGATTGATTAAACAACCATGAAACCACGAACAGTAGAATCATATCATTAAATAGTATTAACTCTTTCTTAACAAGATATATATATATATATCAAGAGTGCATAATAGAGAAGAGTATGACACGGTTTTAACAGCGTTTTGCATAGTTTTCAACTGGTAAATAATCTATCAATATAATAACTTTTTTGAAGAACACATACGATTTTCAGGTAAATTGGTGGTGTCATATGATTAAGGGAGAATCATAGACGAAAACAAGGTAAAGTTTGAATATATTTATTCACATATTGATAGATTATTTACCAGTTATAAACCGTGTCATACTCTTCTCTATTATGCACTCTTGATATATAATATATCTGTAATCTTAGGTACACCAGAATATGCTCCTGAACTGCCTAGCAGATACATTAGTGCATGTTAGTGGAGTAACGATTGATTCCCCCAGTGCATCTGCCATGTCAGGCCTCGGTTACTATGTCGGAGATCTGCATGTTCTCGTGTTTTGCAGGACATCGTCACGGAGAGCGCGTCGTTCGATCTCGTCGCCTTCATCCCGCTGCTGAGGGAGAGGATCTACACGCGAAACCCGTTCGCCAGACAGTTCCTCGTCTCCTGGGTGAGCCTCGCGAGGAAACTTCCGACCCCTATTGTCAGAAACAATATAGTCACTATAACCGGGGTTTCTTATACATAAGAGGCACAGTGGCGCACCGCCGTTGTCAAATTTAACATCGCCGTTGTGAAAATGTTTCTGTATTTACCCACCGTTGTCAAAATAGATTGCCATAAAAATTAAATTTATTAGTTAATTAAATTAAATTAAATTTAGATTGCCACGTGCGTTTACTGAGTCATGTGACGCGGGGTCCTACGCCTACCGCACGCCTTTGAATCCATCATGCACGTTTTTTCCCCAAACTGGCCATTACCTCTTTTGTCTAATTTTCCCTCAGAAGAAACCCTGTATAGGCTATGTAACAATGTGTGTAATTGCATCCCGTCCCCTCTGTCCGGTATTAGTAAGTTTCGAGAAGGACCTGCATGGGGCCCATTGTCGGAAACAAAATTAGTCTTAGTGTTAGTCTTAAAATGAACTTTTTCTAACAGACTGTTGCCGAGAGCGTGTTAAAGTTACGAGTTTCTCACACGCAGTGTGTGTTGGCGGTCAGCAGGGTTCTCCAAGCTTTTAAATTATAGCATGGGGGTGCTACTCACTGCTAGGGGGGTCCGGGGGCATCCCCCCGCGGAAAATTTTTGAATTGTAGAAGCTCTGAGGTGCAATCTGGGACACTCTGTGTGTAAATTTGAAGCACTGCATGTGGGGTGAAAATGTTTGTTTTGCATGGGCAAAGCCATCAGAAAATTCAAAATAATTATTTCTTGATGAGCTAGAAAACACTCGGATTTGAAGTATGAAACTGAACATTATTGTGCCAGCTAGCCTACACCAGTTGGTTGGGTTTGATTGTCAGTTCAGATGCAAAATATTGAAAGCAAAAGGTTATACACCATAGATTAATTTTGGTACTATAACACTCGTATATAAGATAGCCGAGTCGGTTTAGAGTTAGTGTTAGGGTTAGGGATAGGGAGACTATTTGTACTTGTGTGTGGGACTGCCGTACCCGTAGCATCGAGACCAACGTGTACGTTGGAACTTCTTGTGTATACACCAGCATGGTGGCTATGATATTTAGCATGGCAGGTGCATTTTAGGATGGCGAGGCTCGACGATAGCCTGGCAAGCCGCCAGGCTATAAGTGCCCTTGGAGAACCCTGGGTCAGGTCTACGAAGAAAAGATAAGGTTACTGTAAATGTCAACACTAATTTTGTCGCTGGAGCGTACACCGACTAGAAACGACTGACGACTGAAGCTGCAAGTTTCGCGCGTGGATCTATGAGGGCGTGGGAGGGGGTAATCGTAATTCGCTATGCGACACAGGTTAAGAGTCGACCACGCTTGCCCGGCCATGCTCACCAGGTGGCACTACTCTCTCGCAGGTGACCGTACTGGATGCCGTGCCGGACATCAACATGCTTGTCTATCTGCCAGAGATACTGGACGGCCTGTTCCACATCCTCGGTGATCCAAACCAGGAGATTAAGAAGATGTAAGTACCACTCCATATCTAGACACCCGAATTATAATATATATATATATATATATATATATATATATATATATATCATAATAGTATATCCATCTATCGTCGTATTATGTCTGCCGTATCCATATTATCTACTCCGTCCAATCCATCCATCAATCATCAACATTCCATCCAATCCATCCATCAGTCCATCCATACACCATCATCATCATCCATCCATGCCATCAATCAATCATCCATCCATCCAGCCATCATCCATCCCATCCAGCGCGTCCATCCATCTCATCCATCCATCAATCATCCATCATCCATCCTTCCATCCATCATTCTATTCATTCCATCATGTTATCCTCATGTAGCCATCAATCCATACATCCATCCATCGCATCGCATTCCATCTATCATCCATCCATCTTATCCATATCCATTCATCATCCATCCATCCATCCATCCATGCATGCATGCATGCATGCATCCACCCACCCATCCATCCGTATATATGTTATAGCCATAGAGTACAGAATCTCCCTGTTCTGTTCTAGGTGTGAAGCGTTACTCGGGGAATTTCTAAAGAGCATCATAAAGTCACCGGACAAGGTCAACTTCCCAGCCATGGTGAACATTCTCATCACCCACTGCCAGTCTTCAGGTAAGCTGAGTTTATTTTTGGCTATTACAATTCGTAGTCACAGTGGACATGCATCTCATAGAGATGGTCCAGGCTTCCCCTATCACACACAGGGGTAGTGGCAATGGAGCTACGTTCTGTAGAGACAGTCCAGGCCTGCCCTGCACGCATAGAGGTAGTGCCAGATGATTTACGAATCGTAGAGATGGTCGATGCCCCTGTTTACTTTACACACATGGGTGTAGTAGCAAGGATTCTATGTCCCGTAGAAACAGTCTGAGCCTCCGCTTCACACACGGGCTGGTGACAATGGATCTGCACTCCAGGCCTCACGTTTCTAGAGTAGTTTCTCCTAATTGACGTAAGATCGGTCGTGAAGAGACAGCCTGGGCCTCTCCCGCACACACGGGGGTAGTCACAGTGTATCCTATACAAGGACTGTACAGGCCTCACGTTTATAGATTATATCCTGATAATCGAAATATAATCATACCTGATAGAGGCGCGCTAAACTCCTTGTCGTCACCTTTACAAAGGTCCCTCACTCATCCATCCATCTTATATATATATATATATATATCCATACAGCCATCTTATCTGTATCTAATCAGTATCTGGCTCCTATTAAAACAGTCCAGGTCTCATGTGTCAAGAATAGTTCCTAGTAATCAACATATAAACATTCCCAAGAGAGGCGCGCTAAACTCTTCGTTGTCGTTTGTTGTCGTTGACGACGTATGTTGCAGAGGATCTCATCCAGATGACGGCCATCTTGTGGCTGAGCGAGTTTGCGCATCTGGCGGGTCGCGACATGCTGCCGTTCGCGTCGGGCCTGCTCACCGCCGTGCTTCCCTGCCTCGCGTACGACGACGATCGCAAGAACCTCCTGTTCGACGACGACAACAAGAAAAATATCCTTTGCAATAAATAATATCTCTAATATAAAAAAATAAATAAAAAAATAAATAAAAAATAAAAAAATAATTGCGGCATTGTATACTGTTTGCCGGCAGCGGATTGTGTCGCGTCACGTTTTACGTTTACGTCGATCGTTCGTGTAGATGGCGTGCAAGCGTCGTTAGGAGATAGTGAATCGGGGTTAGAAATACATCGATTGTTTATATACCTGTCTTGCATATGTGTCGCTCACGGCATTATATACTTTTCTCTTGCGGTATTATGTGTCCCTAGGGGTGGATTGCAGCGGTGAGGGCGGGGGGCGGTACGTCGATCATTCGTGTAGATTTCGTGCCGGCGTCATTAGGAGCAAAATCGGCAGTCAGAAATTCCGACTGTAACTAGTAAATTGCCACTTAATGCATTACTGCTGACCTTGACCGACCTTCACGCATCATAGAGACTGCAAAGGCCGTTAACAACACTCTGATGAGGTTGATCACTCCTGAAGACGACGCAGACGATATGCCAGACAAAACGCCAGCAGACGACCAAGGGGAAGTCGCCGAAAGGTAGAGATCGCGCCGAACTTTTGAAAGCGTGCACATTTTTTTTACAATTTTTAAGATCAATCAACTTAATGAACAGTCTTAAATGAACTTTGAGAGAGAAATTATAATTTTTGACAAAGCTAGGAAGTTGCAGTACATGATGTAGAGGCTGCAGTTTTTTTTAGTATTCTTGAGGAATAGCTAATACGTTTCATCTAGCATGTGGAAGACATCGTATCGATTAATTATTGTAGGATGTGGAGGTGTACCTAGGTTATATCCTTATAATCAAGATCCGGTCTTACATTTTTTTGCCGTAAAAATAGAAACTTCCATACTTCTTCTAACTTACTTCTATACTGTTACAATTAGCCTCGGGCGCATGGACCAATTCAATTTAATCATTGTATTTCTCTTCTGCGGAAAAAGCTCCAAAGACGATTTCCGTAGAACATAGAGGTCTGAGATGTTGCCACGCGTCTGGCTGGGTTTCACGCGCGTCTGTTTTCGCTGCAGGAAGGCGATAAGGTTAGATCTGCCGTCGGTCGTCGAGGTTCTTAGCAAACACCTGCTTCACAACTCGACGCAAACCCGCCTGTCTGTCCTACGCTGGGTCTACCATCTGCACATACAGATACCTAACAAGGTGAGAGTATGTCTGTCCTACGCTGGGTCTACCATCTGCACATACAGATACCTAACAAGGTGAGAGTATGTCTGTCCTACGCTGGGTCTACCACCTGCACATACAGATACCTAACAAGGTGAGAGTATGTCTGTCCTACGCTGGGTCTACCACCTGCACATACAGATACCTAACAAGGAGAGAGTATGTCTGTCCTACGCTGGGTCTACCACCTGCACATACAGATACCTAACAAGGAGAGAGTATGTCTGTCCTACGCTGGGTCTACCACCTGCACATACAGATACCTAACAAGGAGAGAGTACGTCTGTACAGATGTTCTGTGTTT